CTCTTCCGCTACTTTTCCGTCGCAAACAGACACGAGCGCAACCGGGTCTCCCTTCTTTTTTAATGGAACGGAAGAAACGCGAGATTCGCCATGTCGCGAAACGCTGGCAAACGCTGGCAAACGACTTTGCAGACCCGATAACCCACTCGGAAGCAAAGTATGTCTCGCGTACCACTGACCTCGGCGTGTACGCATCGTCGCGAGCATTTCGTTCCGTTTACCACCTGCTTCGCGAGTATTCGTTTCTTCCGCGCGGAATCGTTGCTTCCCATCCACGGTTCACGATGGCAACAGCAGCGATCGTTAATCGAACGAGATTAAACGACCGCCGCGCCATCGTAAAGCAAAGATTCGCGAAAGAACGTTCTCCTTTCGCGTTCTTTCTTTCGACACGATTACCATTTCGGCGTCGATCCGAGCGAGCATCGCTCGCGAGAACAGGGAACAAAGAGGGAAGCGAACGAGTCGTCGATTCTTAAAGACGCTACGAGACGTACGTCGTAATCTTGGCCGAGATTACAGTCGAACTGCCCAAGACGACGGTTTAGCAGCGGTAATGCTGGCATTCACGACCTTTTATAGCGCGTTTACCCGCTGTCTCGCTACTCTCTAGCCACCCTCTAGCCACCCTCTAACCACCCTCTAACCACCCACCCCACTCTTTGAAGCGCAATGTTCCTTGCACCGGCCATTGTTCTTTCGCCAACCGTGTCGTTTTCCTACGGAAACAACCCTCCGTTCTTATTGTTTCCAGTCGAATGTTCAGTTTTCCAAACGAATATTCTCTTCCTCTCCCGCGTAATTTGCGCGTTACCGCGCGTAAACAGTTTTCCAATCCTACAAACTATCTTGCCGCGTATTCCATATTTCCTTCCCATTGCTATCTTCGTGTTTGCTCCGACTTCTTAACCGACCTGTATAGCAGCCTGTATTGCTCGAAGGTGGGATGAATTTTGGCTAGTCGGTTTCTCTGTCGCACACGCGAGATACGCGCGCGTGTATTTTTAAGGGCGACGTCGAGTGGATAATTCGTCGCAGGGGAAGTAGCGCTACTTCCGTCGCGAGGATTTTTCGTCCTCGATCGCAGGCGGAGACTTTATCCGAAAAATTGTAGAGGAATCGGTGCGTGGCGTTTCTAGGGATCCCTCGTAGGATCGGAAAATGGCTGGTGCGCTCGGGAAGGTTTTCCACTGTTTGCAAAGCCACGGGTAGAGAAGCAAAACCCTCGGGAGCTACGATTTACACGGTTTCGCGTGTTTCCCGTTTTCCGACGGCGGAAGGAGGTTACGCGGTTCGCGTGGCCGCAATGTAAGACGCTGGCTTGCACGGTGAATCCTTTCGCGAATCCTTCCTTCTCGTGCCGCGATGGCGGTGGGTAGATGAAAGGTGAAAGGTAAAAGGTAAAAGGCGAAGGGAGAGGAATAACGTATGCGAAGCTCAGTCATAGCTTCCGTTTGCGCAACCAAGCCGGAAAACTTTTACAGAAATTCCAAGTCGACTGGAGGATGGAAGAGCCGAGTCACGAGACGATGCCGATGACTCGGCCGAATCTTACTCTGCCGGGAGGGTGTCGTAAAGCGGGGATAGAACCACCCGACTTCCCTCGCAGAACGGCCCTCGCTTTTATGTCCGTGTATACCGCGACGCGAACCCTCTGGCGAATTTCGATCGTAAACTTTTATATCACCGTGCCAGTGGAGTTACGTTTAACGCGCATCGTGGCCTCCGAGCGATAAGAAAAACGACGAATTACGTTGCTAATCCGACGGCTAAATACCCTATGGATCACCGACGACCTCTCGATCGCGGTATATCTCTCCCGCAGCGATTCCCCTACGGTGTAAAGTCTTTAAATCCTCCACTCGCTACGGTCAACCGGGTCTCGTCCATGCGTTTCCAACTTTTACCTGTACCCGCATTCCTACTCGATTCCTACCCTACGAGACAACGAACGATAACGAAGATTCCACGACGGCGACTTTGGATGGAAACGCGCGACGAACGTGCAGATCCGATAGATCGAGAAGCTACGTATATCGCAAATAGGCTTTCCAATATAGCCCGTTAGTCGAGAATAACGTCCCATCGTTGCGGTACCCACTTTCTTCTTCCATCTGCCTCGCTCTTCCACGAATTTTCCACTCACGCTATCCATCAGATTTATCGACTTCTAGGCGGTATCGCATAGTCGATGGTCTGCTATTCCTTCGCAATTACGTACCTGTCGTTCCAGCGTCTTCCAACTATGCCCTATGACGTATACTCTGTGACGTAAACCTTGGACGGAATCGTCTTTCGCGTCGCAGCTGGACACACTGGCGATAATCGCGGAGGATTGGTAGCGTAGTTTCAGCCTCGTCACGTTCGATTTATTCGCCGAAGCCTCGGTACCGCTCATTTCGACCGGTATGCAAGGTCCATGGTTTGTCTTCTTACGTCGGGATGTGCATGGAAAGAATGTACGACCGCGATCGTGCGCATCGGCACCGTGTCGCCGATTCGTCGAACCGTCGCGAGCCGTCGAGCCGTCGAGTCGTCGAGCTGTCGTTCCACGCTATCCGACTAGCATTTGTTTACCCGTGCGTGTACGTCCATCGCTGTGTGAACGAATATCCGCTCGTATATAGCAGCTATACGTTTTCAGCGCTGCTCGTGTACTACTCGCTGTTATGTATAGGTATAACCAGGCGAGCAGCTATCTCCTTCCTCGCCACGATCCGGATGCACCATTTGCGGGATATTCTCCGACGCTATCGGCTCGCGACGTGCTCGAGTGCATACTTCCTCCTTTCCTCTTCACGGACACACGGCACACTTATAGATTTGAACCCGACGTTCGTTCTCGTCCCGATCTTGCGTTTCCTTCGTTCCCTGTGTCGCAATTACCGCGATTTATTCCACAATCGGATTTCCCCTTTTCCATCCGGTCTCGGCCTTTTCGCCGTCCGAGTAAGTCGCTTTCCCCGTTTTGCTCCGACGCTTCTCGGTTTCGATCTTGACGGAAACGTCGAATCGTTTCGGGTCTCAGGGGCGATGGACCATCGTGATCGGTTAACGAACGACGAACGAGGGAAGATGGTCCCGCTCGATATTATACCGAACGAGCCGCGATTTATAGCGAAACGCGTATCGACGCGAAATAATACCGGTCACGAACTAGCGCATTAGTGCATTATTAACGTTTATGGTATTATCCGGGAAAAGTTATCGACAGCGTCAGGTAATGTTCGCGATATTTCACGAATAACGAATATTGCCGTACCGCCGCCATATTTCAAGAACGATATTTTTATCGTTCCCGTTACGATCGCTTGGTTGCCATTTCCCTTTTTTTCCTGTTTTCCCGTTTTTCTTTTTTTTTGCCCGAGGTTTTTCCGTGTATTGATTAAATATTCCGAGAGTCGGCAATATACCGGTTTGACGGTGGCTTGATCGCGTTACATATATAACGCCGTGTTTCGATACCTGTTATGGTAATCGAGACAAATTTTTCTATCCCTACAAACATTTCCGCGATGTTTCGAACCGAACGATGCCACAATTTTTATTTAATTTCGCATCGGTTGCGCGCAACGATTCGCCGCGTTCCACGCATCCCGAATAAATATAACCGTGCAACTTGCGCGATTCCGCGATGCGGAGGGTCGATAGTTTTTCCTCTAATGATCGTCGCGGAAATATCGGTGGTTCGATTCGTAACACGCCGATGCCGAGCTGCGGAGGATCGGTGTGCGGACACATACGCGTTTAAACGTATCCACGGCCTTCGTTACAGCAATTTATTATCGGTGAGTAATAAACTCTCGTCGTCGAGGGTGGCCGGGGGTGGTCGGGAAATTCGATTTGGCGCTCGATTCTGGGGCAGACGTTTCCTGTCCGCGCCCCCTTAAACAAATGCCGGCCCGTGGAAAACAATTCGGTTACATGGAGGAAATCGTGAACGGGCGAGGGTAGTTTGCCAGATAAGACGGCAGCTCGAGGAATATTTCGCATTTGGCTGGAAGCGTGCTAGGCGTACGAACATGGAAAATATTCCAACTGGTCGAATCTATCGAATTCCCGCGACGGTCACATTCTACTCTTTATAGGCTATATCCACGGGGGTCGGTGGTAGCACGAGTGTCTGACAGTGGAAGCAGCAGCAGCAGCAGGTAGGCGTGTGCGAGGTGGAACCGTAGCCAGCTGCTTGCTTGGTCTCTGGTCCTCTGGACGTGTTGGCGACTGGCTGCGTGACTTGGGTATCCGGGTAGTGGCCACGTAACGATTACCGTTAAAAATTTAGGAAAATTCGTCCGTCGTAGGTGAAGGCAATGTTATTTTTATGCTGGCGCCACAGCCGCGCTACGTCTCGCGTATGCACCCCACGTATTACTTTGTGTATTCTTCGAAACGCCCCTGTTCCCCGACTCAAATTCCACTTTCCGTCGGCTTTTTCGGTAATATCCCGCAACGAGTTTTCCCCGTCGCGTCATCGTTTTCCAGCCGAGCACGGCGCACACGCGTCACCTAAACGTCTACCTACTCGA